ATTTTGATGTTTAAGAGATTCTAAAATTAGGCAACTTTCTCTTAAACTTTAGACAAATATATACTAATATGATATAATTTTATGTATAAAGCAAGTTTATTTAGAGTATAAAGATAGATTTAAATAGTAAAAAAATTAAAAATTAGATTATTTTTTATAATTTTATTAATAAAATTATAAAAAATATTACAATCCTCAAAATTATACTAATTAAACCTATATTTATGTTTTAAGCAACTTGTTTTATGCATAAAATTACATAACATTAGTATATGGTTACTTTATAATTTTAAAGTTTAAGAGAAAAATACTTAATTTTAAATTTTTGAATTTTTAATCAAAAACTCTAAAAATAAGCATTTTTTAAAAAATTTTAAGAAAAAAATTAACCAGCTAGCATAGTATATTTTTATAATTTATTAGAATATAAAGATATTATTTATTAGTATAATTTTAATTTATACTGCTTTTTTTATAATTTTACTAGTAAAATTATAATAAATACTATAATTTTAAATTTTATTCTATATATATATTTTTTTATTCTTTGATGATCTTGTTGTGACTTGATTTTTTAGTTTATAGTACATATAATCTATATATATTTATTTCTAAGACTAATTAAAAACCCAACATTACCTGGTTATCTATAAGATAACCAGATACAATTCATCACACTAGCTTATGAATAAGCTAAAAAAAAACTCTTTTTATAATCCTTTTGTATCCAATTTGAGATAGTATTGCCTCATGGCTTTTTAATCTTTTTCTATTTTCTGAAGCTTTATCCCTTTTTGCTTTGTTAATCTTTTTTCACCTTTAATGTTGGATGATGCATTCTTTTTTGGCTTCAAAAATCTTTTCTTGCTTCTTTTTTATCTTTCTTTCTTATATTTTGCATCTCTTTCTATTCTACCACTTTAGTATATCTGTCTATTTATATAAAATCATAAAACCTATTTCAAATTATATGCATAGCAAGTTTAATTGTATATGTGGTCATCTTTAATAAGTTAAAGAGATTTTTTGATTATGTTAAATAAGTTTATAAAAGTTAAACCTTTAATCCACAGTTTTTTTTTTAAATTTTACTCTATATAAATTTAATAAATTTATATATATATAATTTAAACTCAAATAGGTGATAAACTTTAAAATCAAATTTAAATCAAATCAAACTTAACTAAAAAGTTTAAGTTTAAACTTAAACCAAACTTAATTTTTTAAAAAAGTTTTGTTTTAAAAATCAAATTAAACTCAAACTTGGCAAAAGTTTGATTTAATTTGATTTGATAGGAACTCTAGTGTTATATATGCTAGATATTCTAATTATGCTATTTATGTTAAATATTCTAGATAACATAATTATTCAAATTATCCTAAATATGTTAAATATACTATTTATAATAGTGCACCAATACAAGCAAATATGCATCTGATTGTCAAATATAATTATAATTGACAATTTTAATTTTTATTTATGACACTAATAAATTTTTTTATTTTAAAAATATGGCTTTTACCAATTTTGTAAAAAAAAATTATAAAAAATTTACAAATATTTAATAAAAAAATTAATAAAAATAATACTATTTTATAACTACGAAATAATGCACAGGAGTGTTATTTTAAAATTTGGCTTAAATTAAGCTTAATTTAGGCCAAAAATAAAATTACACTCCTGTATATTATTTTGCAGTTATAGTATTTGCTTTATTTAATAAATCTTAATTATTTCAATAATTAGTAATTAAATTTTAATAAATTTTTTATTTTGTAAAAAAATTTTATCTTTACTAAATAATAAAAGTTTTATCTAACTTGAATCAATAGTTTAAAAAAAAATTAATAAAAAGATTAAACTTAAAATTAAATTTTTGTTAATTTTTTAATTAACTATTAATTTTTTAATTAACTATTAATTAAAACTTTCTTCTATTATAATATGTTAAAATTTTATAATTTTTTTTTTAAAAAAAGATTCTCTTTGGTTAGTAAGATTTTATTAAGCAGTTTAAACACTATATATTATAATTAAAGTATATCAAGCCACATATATACTTTTGGTATCTAATTTAAATAGTTTGTTTAAAGCATTAGTGCAATACTAAGATTTCTATACTATTTGCTATACCTGTAAATTAGCTATGAGATTACTTATTTAAACTTTCTAATCACAATATTTTCAGTCTAAATCTATCTAATAGAAGTGTAATTTACTATAATATTACTATATTTATTAACTTTTTTGGAATACTTAACTATTCTTGAGATAAATCCAACAAAGTATTACATACTCTACACATGTATTCTCCTGCATGCTTAGTAACTTCTTTCTAATTAGTATCTGTTGTGCTACTATCATTGAGTTTATATTTCAGCTATTCTTTAGAATACTGCTATAACCTGATCTATATCTCAAGCTACAACTTTTCTAATTAGTTATTTATTACTTACTCTTGCTTTTGTATTGGTTTACAATAACCTAGTTAGCTATATTCCAACTGTCTTTTTATATACATTTTTTATCAGTTCCTTCATTATTTCTAGTTAACAATTCCAAAAAATTAGTTTGTTTAGGCTTTGGATGCTTTACAGTTTTCCTCTTCTTGATACATACTTTTAAAGCATATGCTCTTTTTTACTGGTGTGTCTAGTATCCAATAGTTTAGCTAGTATATATTTTTACTTAAGGATTTGGACATTCAGTTTTTCAATTTCTGGCCTGGTTCAAATTCAGCCTTCTTGTAGCACCATTGAAAATCATTATTATATCCAAACTCAAGACTTGCTAAATAGGTGTTTGGTTATTTCATTTCTTTGGATTTATTGTACCAAAGCTCCTATTACTAGATAGTGTAACCAAGATTACAGATTTGATAATAATTCTAACTAATAATCAATAACTATTAACTCTAGTACAAAGCTATTGTTCAAAATTGTCATCTGTAAAATTTGAACTTTAGACCTACTACTTGGAGAGAGTGATAACTAAACCAATATACTAAGTTGCCATATCTTCTAATTCATCAAATTTAGATTAATAGATATTAAAATATTTTTAAAAAAACACAGACACTTACTTAAATTTTTAAAACTTTAGAAATAAAATTGTTAATTATACAAGTATATGATTTAAAAATAGCATCATATAATAACAGAGAGATATAAATTTAGATAAATAAATAAAAGCCAAAATTAATTACTAAAGTAAGTTTTTGAATTATAAGCCAAGTTCTTAAGTGTGAAATTATTTTTGTCACTTCCTTGTATATTTTTTAAAATCTATATAAAAAACAAACTTAGTATCTGCTATTTTGAAGTTAAGCAACTTTATTCTAGTTTTATTTATAAGTTTATACTTTTCAAATTTTGAAAAACTTTGTTAGATAAATAGATTTTAGATATAATTCAAAACTTTATCAAAATAATTGGCTTTTAAACAATTATCAGAAAAATAATTGTTAAGAAATTGGTTTTGTTAATAAAATTAGTTGTTATACAATATTTTTATTGATTTTTAAAAAGATAAGGCAAATACAATACAGTCATATCCAAGTTATATCCCCACTGGGTCATATCCCAACCTGAGTTATATTCCTATTTTTTAGCAGAATAAAATTCCTTTTTTTATATAGTTTATATATTGAGTTATATTCCTAACTTTAGTCATATCACCAAAAATTCTCTAGAAAAGAAGGTATAAATTAGGTATGACTGTATAGATTAGTCAATATTATTTTCTCATATTATTGTAGTTTGCTTTTCATAATAAAATTTCAGTTCTCTCACCTAAGCACTATATTTTGGAACTCTAATTATAAAAGCTTTCTAAAAATAAAATTAATACTTTAATATACTAAATGAAAGACCTGGTACAATATAATATCAATACAAGAAATTATGAAAACACAGGCAATATTATGCAGTAATGAATCTGTGTTACCAAAAAGATTGTCATTAAAAAACTATTTAATTAATAGAGATCTCATAATTTGCAACAGGGTATTTTGCACAGCAGATACTGAATAAGGAGAGTATTCATGTTATTTTGCTCATGTCTTGTCTTGAGTACTTTTGTGCATATTATTCAGGAATTTCCAAGCTATGACTTTATAATGAACTTGCTATGTTATTGATATATGTGTATTTCAAAAAAATCCATGGGTATTATTTCAAACAAAGTATACTTGTACTCATTATTTTAAAGCAACTTATTATAGTTACAATGTACAAGTGAGAAGTATAGCAAAGGATTTTATTGAATAAAAAAAGATAGCATTATATCATTTAAATCAAACCTTGAGTAACCTTGCTAAGAAAGAGGCTGCTAGTTGGTGAAATGGATAATAGGTTGTTGAAAAGCTTGTTTTGGGAAATGGGTTAGTAAAATGGGACGAAATAATAACTATAAATATAGCATTTTACCGAAGTTAGAATATGCAACATTTACTCAAAGATTAACTTCGAACCAACAGAGATTAAAGGTCAAGGCTTATATAATTTGATAGAGAAATCTCGCGCTTATTTTTTTCTTAATTTGTAAAAGTAAATGGTTTCACGAAATTAAGGTTGTCATATGAGAAACCATTTGCGAAGCCAAATTTTTCAAATGACGCTATCATATGATCATCATCCCGAATCGAATGTCCCGTGACTGTTACGTATATATTTATTATGTTAATCGTCATTTTATTATCACGTTAATAGTCTATGAATTAACGTTAATTAAATTTTTACAGGGGATATGACTGTTTAAGAATTATCTAATTACAGGGGTGGGAGCCGGACATCAACCCAAATATTGTAGACATTCCTCCGCTCCAGCCCAATAAATAAGTAAATAAATTTAAATTAAAAATAAAATAAATAAATAAATGTATATTATACAACTGCATAGAACGGTATAAATTTTAATAAAAGGCATTAGATATTAAATATTAGTACGGTACTATTAATCTAATTCAAGTTATATATAGTTTAAATAAAATGCTGAGAAATCAAACATCAAGCTTGTTATCCGTATCTAATTCTATAAGAATAGTGTCATTAACGGGTTCATTATTATTTTCCTGAGTAATTATAGGTTTGTCTTCAGGATTAATGTAATATATTATAAGTCCAAGTAATGTACCACAGAATGCTATTGGATATAATTGAGACATCTAATAGATAGATAGTTGGGATTGATTTTAGTGGAAAAAACTTTTTTTACTTTAAATCTTTTTAAAATACGCTTACCGGTTCTTTGATTATGAAATAATTAAAAATTAATGTATAAAAATCGCTGGTAAGTAAGGATAAATTAAAAAATAAGGCAGATGAAAGACGTAAAAAGACCGAAATTCCAACGTATAAGAAAAGCATTGCGATAGTGTATGCAATTATAAGGCCAACTAAAGTTATAAAAGAAAAAATATTATATAAATAATATGTATATAAAATATAATAATTATGATTGAAATGATTATTAATAATATTACTTATTCTTGAAGTTAATACTAAGTTTTTCAAATCATCAAGTTCTAGAATTACACTACAAATGTAAAAATCAAAATAGTTAGAGCTGAATTAAAAAATACAAATAAAAGAAACAAATTTACATACATTTGTATAATGCTAATAAAGGTGCCCCATAATCCCATTTGACCAAGGACCTCATATAATGGTTTTTTATTCACGCAATACTCTTCTAATACATTCGAAATGCCGTAGCAAGTTGCACCGATCAAAGCAAATAAATCGCCTCTTATTGGATCTTTAGCTAAAGTCCAAAAAAAATAAAAAATAAATATAGAATATATAATATCTTTTACAATATGGAACATTTAAAAATAAAAATAGATCACTAACCAAAATACATGCTTTTACCAATATCAATATCACCCCAAATTACCATACCAGAACCAATGATACAAATAAAAATGCCCAAATATTGATTGAAACGATATCTTACTTTCAAAAACATTATTGATAAGACTGCAACCATAGGAGTTGTCCATGCATCAAGTAACATTAGAGAAAGTGTAGAAGTATATTCGAAAGATCTTACACTAAAATAATTCCCTTGAACATTCGTAAAGGCAATTATTATATCTAAATACATAAATATATATATATATATTTATCTCGGATCAATGCTAATTTTTATTATATATAACCAGCACTAGAGAAAGAATAAAACTTACATTTCCAAGAATCATTTTTAACCATTTTTAAAAACCCTTTAAATCCATATTTAGAAATAGTAAATGGAGTGCAAGTGATAAATAGCACAAAATATGTAAAAAAGGTTTGTGTAGTAGGGATATTAATTTTTAATTCTGCGGTTGTCACAATTGTAGATGTTATACAAAGCGAAAGAAATTGTCCAAGTAAAAGTATTATAAGAAATTTGTTTGTTAACATAAATGAAAAATCGAATTTTATCCAGGGGGATCTTTGTGGTGGCGATTCTTGCTCATGACAAGATGGTGTATATACGAGGACGACGGAGTCGGAAGTTGACATTTTTGTTAACAATGTATATAAGAGTGTATAAACCTAATTTTTGTTTCTCATTTTAAAAATGACCTATAACCCAGCTTTTTATTAAAACAAGCTCGGTTAAAATTAATTTTGTATCACTTAAAATCATCGTTTCATAAAAAAGATCTCTTGTGTTTAGTCGGTAAAAATAAAATGGATTTTATATATTAAATAAATTTTCCTAATACATAGATGTTTAAATTTGATAATCTATGTTCCAGATAATGATATAATCGTTCTTGATTGAGTAATGATATCCAAACAGTTTGGAGCTTCCTAAAGCGTTATTATGATGATCAAGTATAAATATATATATATATATATGCATATGGAAGTTTATCACGGATATATTGAATATGAGCAATCAATATTAGCAATTATAATTCCACGTAATACTGTATGTGTGAAAATCACACCCGGAAGATTACATAATGACAACGTTGTCGGGGTAAAACGTAGGTCCCGTATGTACGTACGCGCGTAGAAAGATATTAGTGGATACGTAGTCACTCACTGACCAGTAAACAATCCACAATTTTCAACATTTTTATAGTGTCGTAATCGTTGTCGCTTCTGAAATTTGCAATCAGTAATCTCAATGATGGGATCCACATATCCGTTCAGATAAACGAGAGTTGATCGCATCCATAACTAACTCTAATAGATAGTCTGATAAACAGATAATTAAAAACGAATTTTTGGAACGTTATGCTGAGACGGAAAATAAATAGATATTCTATTTTAAACACATGTGCCGTATGAGCAATCACGTTTCAGGAAATTCTAAAAAAGAGGTATCAATGTCGATTTTGTGTGCCTGCCTGGTAAAATAAGTAAATAAGTAAATAAGTTATAGTTATTGTATGGGTTGTAAAAAATAACTAAATTTGCACGGGTTTACATGGCCGAAGGCCATGCCGTGCAAATTTAGTTATTTTATAACCCATATAATAACTATTTTATTGCACGGTGTCTGAGTACAATCCCGTGCCAATAAGTAAATGTAAAAAGCACGGGTTGTTACATAAGACCCGTGCAATAAGTATATGGATGCCGTGTCAATATAACGTCCCGAATTGTCATACAGAGCTTTATAATTACTGATTATATCCTTATTTGTGTGATATTACGTAAACATAACAGGTTCTAATTGAAGCTCAATTAGCAAATAATGACTTATAAATATGATCATGAATTTCATGATGGCAAACGAATAATATTGTTTTATATTTGAAATTAAAAATTTGTTTAAACAATCGAGTAGGGATTGGAATCGAGAAGTTTCGAGAATTGTTTGGTCCTTTGCTTTAAATCTTCGAGCACCGGTAAGGTTTTGACCAAATATTTTGCATTTATGAAAGCAGCATATAAAGTATAATATTAGAAATAATAAAAATTTATTATCTTCACATTACGTTTTAGAAGTAACATTCTACTAAATAATTTTGGATTTGATAAAATGAGCGCACCATATTGGTTTTCTTTTATTAGTTATTACGACTGAATCAAATTTTTAGCTTGCCACGCACATATATAATATATATATATAAGTAACAGAATCATTTATATTCGAAAGTTATTTAAATTAATATTTATAAAACTGTAATTTACTGTAAACCAAAAAAATTTACAACAATCAAACACAGTAAATTTAACTTTGATGCTCGATGATTAACCGAGTTTAAAAAACTTAATGAATGAAAGTTTATTTCGATGCTCGAAATTTTTGATTGATGATCAAATAATTATTCATCAATTCCTAATCAGATTATCTAGTAAATCAGAAGGTTTGCAATTTTAATCATTGTCATGAATGAAGCTGGAAATATTCAAAAAGTTTGGGGCTGTCACGAGATGTCATGGGTTCCCAGGGGTATACATTTTCCCTACTCATTGTTCATACTTTGTATAACAGATCTACGCTAACCTAAATTTAGTAATTGATGATCATTTTACTGTATATATTTCTAATTATTAAGCTGACGGGGTAAAGAATATTTCGAGATCATTGTCGGCTAGCCGCAATTTTAGGTCAAAATCCCGAAAAACAAAATCCCGAAAGAACATAATACTGTCAAAGGTAGCCGGCACTAGCTATAATACTGGCCGATTCAGTCAGTATTATGATCTTCAATCTGTTTTTCTGGATTATGCCCAAAATTGCTAGCCGCGCCTAAATATCCAATCAAAATCTTTCTATAAAATAATTGTATACTAGTTTACAGCTGGTTTGAAATTTGTGATGATCGTCGGGTAAAAGATTATACCACAAAAATGCCTTATAATTTCGGTAGCTATAATTTGCCGACGATCATCACAAAATTCATCACGTTCCCACTAATTTTCAAATTAATACTTAGTTCGGCATGAACCATCGGCGGACCTAAATCATTTGACAAATAGAGAAACCAATCATCAATAATTTTGTCATATCTTTGACCAGAATTGAGCAGGTGGGTTGATAGTTAGGCCACTCCAAATTGATTCTTCGTTTAACATAACATTAAATAATTTATAGAAGGGGACAAAAAAAACACAAAAATAATAATACTGTAATTTTATTGGCTGATTTAACATGTGTTAGTTATATAAAATTTAAAAAATTGAGGGGGTAAATACTATTAATTACTATTAATGTGTATTGGGTTCATATAAATTTTGAAAAATAGGGGGGAGGGGGTTATGTTAAACGAAGAATTAAATTGGTCTGGCCTTAGGATGTTAAAATTACGGTAATTTACGTAATTTTGTGTGATTTTGTGTAACGGTAAGATTCAGTATTTGAAATTTCATGTAATTGTACTTTCGAGATGATTTATGAGTTACAATTTGGATTGTACATTCAAGTCAAATGATGCAATAATGCTGGCAAACTTTTGTAAACCTGGTGCTATTACATATGAAAAATTACATGAAATTTGCTTTTCTGAAACTTGCGTGAAATTACATGTAATGTAAAATTGTAATCTAACAGTTATTAACACATCCCTATTGTTAGTAAGGTAATATTACGGATTGGCACTTGGTTGTTATACCAACATTATGAAAGCAGTATAATTAGAGATTTATTACTGCGTTCAGAACTATAATTTTATATTCAAAAGTATACCAGGTACAATGAAATTTTGGCTACACTAATCACATGATATCAAAAATTACATGAAATTTCGATCCCGAAAGCTTACACCAAATTACGTAAAATTACACAAAAATTACCAATGCGCGTCGATCTTCGTCTGGTCAAATTTGCAGATCATATGACTGGAAAGTTTTCTATTTTTCGGGCCGAATTTGACCAGAATTACGTAGATTGTTTTGACACAATGCAATCTCAAAATTGCAGATCATTTGGCTAGATCTAGAACAAACCAATTTAAATCTGGTCAAATGATCTTCAATTTTGACCAGAATTATAGGTAATGGACTCTTCTATCAATCAGATGATACAGATCCGCCAATATGTTATCTTGTCGAATTAAGTATTAATTAGAGACGGTCTAACAGTACAGTATCCACATGATTTATCTTCTTATCGACACAGCATTTGACATTTCATTTTTCAATCTACTCAATAACTTTTGCTGTGTCGATAAGGGAGATAAATCATGTGGATGCTGTGTTGGTGGATCGTCTCATTAATTATTGTCGCAGCTGATGCTGAAAACGGCTGATGCTGAAATTTTTTCATATTTTATAAAAAATTTTTGGGCCTTTTTTTTACACTTTTTTTTCATAGTTAGGCTAGGGTAGTTTTATTAATAAAAAAGTATATGTGGATTTTAGTAGGTATTATATATTTAAATAGAGACCCCAAATTTCAGCATCAGCTGCGACAATTATTATTTTATTAGCCAGGTCAATAAAAATCTGGTATTGGCTACAATTTTAGCCAGTCAGCTACGGCTATAATAGACCACAGTCATAGCCAGTGTTGTCAATTGACATTGGACATTGTTTATGGACTGTTCATATTCAATAATTTTGCTTGGACATATGTCCATGTACAACACTAATTATAGCTGTTCAACTGTTTGTGCTTAGAGTAGATCAATATAGCGTAAATTGGAATGGATCGGAGTTGATAAATTTTGCTAATAATCCAAGCTAAATAAAATTGCCAGACGCTAACTTTGCTCCAAATAATAGTTAGTTGTTATTATTAATTAATGCTGGTCTAACTAGTGATGTGCCATTTATATCCGAAAATTTTTAGCGTACAGTACGTACTGTACGCATAGTTCTTTTTCTGGCATTTGATTGGCTGGAACAAGTGATCGGCAAAATTTTTAGCGTACAGTACGTTGTAAAGGTGTGGACCAATCCGGAACCTCAAAATATGGTCAACACGGATATCTATCGGCACTAAACTAATCTAAACAACACACAATACCACTAAACTCTATCAATCCTAATGTTGGAAGGCGGAAAGAGGCGTGGAAAGACTTGGTCCGAGTTATTAGGGTCAAATAGAGCTCTAGACTTCGTCACAAAGCTCTAATTCAGAGTTACGGGTTTATAGGATAGCTTATTATCGAGAATTGGGAAAACGAATATGTATAATGCGTAAAATGTTAAGGATAGATAATAGACTCTTCGTTGAGTCGAACTCTAGTGAGTTGTCCTTTTTATTAGGTCAAAAGTCAGCGCTTTTATAGCTTTCGCGCTGGACAAAAATACAACGGGTTTTTTAATTTTAACATGGCTTTTACTGCCAAGACTTTGTTATACCGGTTATTCTGAATATTTGAACATGGTAATGTTCAAATGTTCAAATGTTCAATGTTCAATGTTCAAATGTTCAATGTTCAAATGTTCAATGTTCAAATGTCCACGAATATCCCAAATAAGGCAAGAATGTTATAAATATCAGTTCCCAACCGGCTATGCTAATCTTAATCTAATTTACCAAAAGGCCTAATACAAAATACATAATAAGAAAAATAGATAAAAAAATATACTAAGGGTACCCATTAACCCTTCAC